CGGTGAATTTCATGGATTTGGCACGCGCGGCGCGGAGTTTGCCAGAAACGACGACTTCGCAGCCCTTGGCACCGGACTCCATTACGAAACGGAGGACACCATAGCATGCACTGCAGGGAATTCATCAGGGTTGGGTGGCCAGGTAAAAAAGGGTAAAAACGAACCGACGGACGGCGAGACCACCGAGCAGCTTGTACCGCAAGCTCTCGCACTGAGCGATGGCGGAGAGACCGCGGTATTGAACCTTCTCGGCATACAGTTCAAGGGAGTTCTCGGGGAACTTGAAACGCTTTTGGACGAGGGCGGTGAGCTCGCGAATGCGGCGACCTTTCTCGCCCAGGACTTCTTGGGTGTGGGTTGCACGGATGATGATCTAGCGCATTGAGAACACGACGGAGGTAGCGGCGAATAGAAAGTACCTCAGTGCGGGCGTGGGTGACACGGACGTCGCAGCCCGAGTAACCTTCCTCCGCGAGTTCACGAGTGAAAAATTCGTTGAGTTCGGCGCGGAAGACACCGTCGGCGACGAACTTGCGCTTTTTGCTGATCTGGGTGGCCATTGTATAGTCTGGCGAGAGTGTTGGAAAGGAACGAAGCGAGAGTCAACGGAAAATACCTTGAGGTTTGTGCGGAACCGCAGAACTAGGTAGGATTGATCTCGGCACAGTAGGCGGCATCTCGGCATTGTCATCTACAAAAGGCGATCAGGGCTGTCAAGTTTCATGTCTCTTCCTTCCAACCAACTCTCATCTTTCAGGGTGAGATAATCATTCTTCTGTCTCTATCTGTGACGAGCGTTCCTCTGGAACCGTTTTTGGCACCTCTTAGTCGACTTGTGCCACGGTCAACAGGTTTTCCTGCGTGGTTCACTGACATCAACGACTTGCTGAGATTTTTTCTACTTCTTTGTGCCTACTCCCTTTATAAACAATTACTGATTGAATTCCCCCCCAGGTTTCCGTTTCAATCCCTTTCCTATTCCATACCGTCGCTACTTGTACTACTTACAACTGGCTAGCACTACGAGCTTCGTTGACGAATATACCTGCTGCACCCATCCCACTGCCAATACACATACTAGTGCACAGCAACGACCCGTTCTTCCTCTTCAGCTCAGCAAGACCAGTTACTACTTGACGGACGCCGGCTAAGAAGAAAACGTTGCGTCAGTTTTGGCTGTCAATCTGAGGCAAGATCCTCACTCATTCCGAGTGGGTGAGAGATGGCGATTGAACCGCCGCTGCACAACGGTGAGTCCAAGGTATAGGACGGTAGACTGGACGTACTTGGGGTTGATCTTCTCAATTGGGATATCCAACTGTTCGACGCAGTATGCAAATTGGGAGGCGAACGCTTCGTTAATCTACAGGCGGTCAACCAAATCCCCCCGGCGGCGCAAGTGAACATCCCACCTCGTAAACGTCAATGTCCTCCTTCTTCAGGCCGGCTTGCTCAAGGACCTTGGGAATCGCGAAAATGGGAGAAATTCCCATGTACTTCGGCTCGACACCTGGATGCTCGTCAGTGCATTGGACATAGGGAAGGCAACGACCTACCAACGACCGAACTGGCGACCCACTTGCCCAGAATCTCCATTCCCTCCTGTTCCGCACGCTTTCTGGTGGTCAGGATGCAAATTGCCGCGCCATCACCCACGCCGCCAGCATTGCCTGCGGTCGTGGAGGCCGGGCCCCAGTTCGGGAACACGGGCTTGAGGCCAGCCAGGGATTGTGCCGTCACACCAGGCCGGATAGTGTCGTCCACCGAAACAACCGCGCCTTTGAGCTCGACGGGAATGATTTCTTCAGCAAAAATCCCCATCGCATGGGACCGCACTGCGGGTCAACTATCACGGAATAACGACGGCTAAGGACGTACCTCACTGGCCCGGGTGTGCGAGATGAGCGCGTATTTATCTTGGGTTTCACGCGAGACTTTATACGTTTCTGCTACCATCTCAGATGTCCACCCCATCGGCTGCAAGAATTATCAAGGACGATCTATTGGTCCTCGGTGGAAGAATACTGACCTGAACACAGTCGTGAGCTTCCACATTCTTGTCTACAACCTCGCAGATTTCCGGTGTCGGGCGTGCGCTGCAGGAATCAATTCAGACGCGATCAGAGTTGTGAAAGTCGGACGAACTGCATGGTCATGCTGTCCACACCAAGTGCGAGCCCAATGGACATCTCCCCGGCCTGAATGGCGTGTGCAATAGTCCGAATTGCCATGAGGCCGGAGGAACACAAGCGGTTCACGGTCGAGATCGGAACATGGTTCGGAATACCAGCCGCTAACGCCGCTGCTCTGGAGACGTAGAGAGGGGACGGCGGGTGGCACGTCCCTATCTCCGGGCTAAGAAACGGCTTGGGCCATAGGTGCTGCACATACCGACGCAAATGTCGTCAATTTTGGATGGGTCGAGCTTTGTCTTCTCGAGAGTCGCCTGGGAGAGTTTGGTGGCAATTCACGCGTTTATGCGGAAAGTAAATACCTTGAACAAGGCCTGGAGAAGCTCGTCAACGGTAGTGTCCTTTAGTTGGCCCTTCCTCGCGCGACCGATGGCGGTACGTTTGGCAAAAGTGATAACTACATCCTCGGGGTTCTTCTGGAGGATAGCGGCAAGACCGCGAGGAGCGTGGGTGCTAGCTGAGCGCAGAAAAGAAGCGCGGGACATGAGTTTCGTGGACAACATCCTGTGGTGGGAGCGGGAAGCAGTATCGGGACTTTATATACGCGGGTTAAGCCGCTTCCGCTCACGTGGACTCGGATGGTCAAAGCGGGAGGTGGCATGTCCTCGTAGATACATACAACGCGTGCCAAAAAATTAATCTAGGCGCACACGACGCGACTCGCAGCCCTCCCACCGAAAACTCGTTTTTTTATCATGGCGGATTGGTCTCCCGTTTGGTCTGTTTCCACATTCTGGTCAGGAACGAGAAGCAATTGCTGCAGAGATGGTGTGCCAGTTTGGGGGCGCCGCAGCCGGGGCAACTGACGATATCTGCAGAACAAAGGTGGAATTGGTGCATGTGAAGAAGATAAAGTAATTGTGACGGACTGTGCTTGTCCTTCAGGCCTTTGTTCGCCTCACGCATGGATTTCCGCGAATGGGAGACCTTTTTCTTCGGTACGGCCAGGACGAAAGGCGGTAAGAGTTCGAGCAGGGATTCCAGGGAGGGAAATGCCCATGTGCGGGATGCCGCGAGGAAGGGAATGGCCGCGAAAAATGGTGTCGATAATGGCCTCGCGAACAGTGACTTTGCGAGTAGCGGCCGCCGTAGCAGTGGGAGTGCGCCGTGGACGGCCAGCGCTGCCATCGTCGTTCCGGTAGAGAAAGCTGAAAATGCAAGCAACGACAAACTTGGATTTATCTTAGACCACCATGTTGCGTCTCTCCCGCCCGCTCTTCCAAGCGCTGAGGACTACTACACACCTCACGGGCTTGGCAGTACACCCCGACCCCCTCCCCGTTCTCACTGCCCAGTACGAGCAAACCCTTCAACAGCTGGCGCGCATTCCCGAGACGTCTGTATACAGACAAGCAACCGAGGCCCTCGTACAAAATAAACTCGAAATCGTAAAGGCCGCGAACGCAGATATCGCCGCCGCAGAGAAGGGGCTGGGCGAGGGTATCATCGAGGAGTCGTTGCTGATTGCCGTGGACGAGCACAAGCTCGCCGCTCAGATGGTGGAGTGGAAGGCGTATGTCGCGTCGTTTCATATTCCTCTGCGTGGGCTTGACCCCCCCGCCATAGGTGGGAACCGCTCGCCGAGAAACCGGCACCTGGCCAGTGGGAATACGTCTCATAGCGTCGCCCTCGATATCCAATGTAAATTACAGCCGTGCACCGGACTCGGTCCACTACTTGGAGTTGAACCCAATGTCTGCGTAATCTTTGATTGCCCCTTGGGCATCACTGGTGGTATCCCTGACGTTCAAGAGGCGATGAGGCAACGAGACCCATTGCCAACTCTCCAGTGGCTCCTCAGTCGTTCATCCACTTCATTGGAGCTTGCTGATTGGCCATCTGTGGCTCTCGCGATGGCGAGCTTTTGATACCGCCGGAGTATGAACTGGGGGCTTTGTACCAACCAATACTACGCTCATATAACCAATGGTGAGTCCCGACACAGCCATAATCATCCAAAGCTAGTAACTCGGTATCCTGGCGCTACCCTGGTCAGCGCCCGAGCTGCAACCCCAGCCTGACGCGCTGCTTGAGCTGACGGCAGTCGCTCCAATTTTCTACATCTCATCGACACAATTATGGAGAGGAGATTCTAAGGCCTACTCTGGCTGTCGCTGCAGAGGCTGCAAGAGCAGAGCAAAGCGACGAAGAAGGACGGGACCCCGACGCGCTGCAGTGGCGCCATCCTTGTACATAAAGGCAGTGGCCCAATGTTGCTTCACCCTAGACACAGTTTGCATGCAAATCGACGGCGGAGGCGCGTACATGGGGCTCTGGCTGCTGCTGAAGGAGGATATCGAGCGAATTCGTCGCTGCTTCCTTTGACAGAGGCACTTCGGGCAGTACTTGGTATTTTTTTGCTACATACCGTTCCAAATTCTACATTCATCATCATTCTCTAACTGTGTCAGGGTTAGAGGGAAGGCCAGACAGGATATCCGAGGTACGAGGATGAAAATCCTGTCTCGTCTGACTGAGGGAAGCGTCTCAGAGCCGGCTCTCAGCGAAGGCAGCCATTGCACGCAAGACTCCCAAGCTCGCAGGTAGGGTTCAATAGTGAAGATTACCCCAAGTTGCTGCTTGAACAGTTTGGCGGAGGTTTGCCTTCGGTCCATCAGGCCTCCAGAGTCAAACAGAGCGGCCGGTTCACATGAGAATCGCGTCCATGAACAATCGACGGTTCAAGGAAGTTCGAGGACATGCCTCAGGTGATGATGCGACATTACATAATTCGGTGGACGCTTTCCCGTGGTAGCCGAAAAGCAGTGCAATCAGGTATGGATCCAATTCTGAACATCGCACCCGCGGGGCGCTATGACCGAGTGGTTTAAGGTGACAGATTTGAATTTTCATTATCTGTTGTGATTTTCACGCGCAGGTTCGAACCCTGCTGGCGTCGTCATTGTTTTTGAGATCTCCGGTTCCGGAATCTCCGCAGCTCGCCGTGATGTTCCCACACTTCTGTAAAACTCCTTGCAAGTGTCAGGTTCCTACCCAGCCGTGTTCCGAGGTTCATCAATTTCTGTAGTGTAGTTTTTATTCTAAATCTCAGAAAACGGGGATGCGGAAATATCAGACCGTCTGTGATGTGATGAAAGATGTGACCTAAGTTGAACCTCTCCTGAGTTTCCGCCTTAAATGTAAGCACCCGATCAGGTAATTTGATGGTGGCACATTTCGGTGTATTCAAGCTCCACCTCTTCCATCTGCTGGGAAACTGACAAGGTCGGCACAATTTGATTGCCTGGAAATGCTGGTTTGGCTCAGTTGGTTAGGTTGCTACCATGTTACTAGTTGGTGTGAGTTTGATCCGGGCACCCAGTACCTTCTTTTTCCTTTTCTTTTTTTGCCTTTTTGCTGCCCATCACACATCCAGGCTTGACATCAAAGACGAAGATGCCCCGCTGTCGAGGAGTTATGGCAAGCGCAGTGCACCTTAACTCTGGGTATCAACCGTACCGTCCCGCCACACTGGTTAGGGTTAGAGTTAGAGGTTTGCCTCAGGTATCTATATGAAAAACCCAGCAGAGATGTGGCAAGTCTATTTTTCATTGGGTCTTTACTATTAGCATCACCATCGCTATTAGACACACCCAGGATGGGAACCTTTTAAGGTCGCTTAAAAGACCTATGAAAAGAATGTGTATTCGTAGTCTAATATATCTTGATTGATTTAGCGAGATTCAATGAAGTAAGAAAGGAGTACAGACACAACTAGAATTCATAGGCATTTTTGACTTGATTGATTTCTATCTTATTCACCATGTAAGAAAGGTGTCTGAAAAGAACATCAATCAGGTGCCAAATCAACCATATTTGATTTTTGGGGTATTGACGGTACATAAAAGCACATTGTAAAGTACATGTTTTAGGCCAATGAGGGATTTTTGCTATTTGTCCGGCATTTTCCGATCCAATGGCAAAAATCCCTCATTGGCTTAAAACATGTACTTTACAATATGCTTTTGTGTACCGTTGATACCCCAAAAATCAAATATGGTTGATTTGGCACCTGATTGACATTCTTTTCAGACACCTTTCTTACATGGTGAATAAGATAGAAATCAATCAAGTCAAAAATGCCTATGAATTCTAGTTGTGTCTGTAATCCTTTCTTACTTCATTGAATCTCGCTAAATCAATCAAGATATATTAGACTATGAATACACATTCTTTCCATAGGTCTTTTAAGCGACCTTAAAAGGTTCCCATCCTGGGTGTGAGAATCTACTTCAACTTGATGGGTTGACGTACTGAAACATGCTGTGAAATGTTGCTGAAAGAGTGCCACGATCAAATTACCCGATCGGGTGCTTACATTTAAGGTGGAAAGTGACGGCTGGCACAAAACATCCGTCAACAGCATAGTTACAATTTCGCAAAATCCCAAGGAAATTCAGTGGTCGCCTTCCTCACATCAAAATAAAATGATTCATGCCCCTTCATCTGCAAAAAAGGCTTTGCTAACGAGAGCTATACAGAGCAGGGTAGAGCAATAGAGGGGTAGCAAGGTACCCCTATATATAGAGGCACGTAGAGCACTTCAGCATTAGAGCGATAGAGTGATGGCGCTACTTAGAGCCACATAGAGCACTTGTTTCTGCGCAGCAACCGTCCTCTACCAATCCTCATTGCACTGCTACTATTCCTCGCACCAGATTATTGATACCATCGCGCCAGACAAAACAGAGAAAAGCACATTACAGTTGTTCCCAAAAAGTATGAGACAAATCTTTTTTTTTTCGCGTGTCCACATCTGGACCTTCCATTTCAGGCTGGTCGTGGGTTCGAACCTCGTTTACAACATTTTTCCTTGCGTCTTGTGAGGCTCATGAATGACCCCCCAGGCAGGCATATAAATTGTATGAATTCAGCAGAGAAAATTGCAAACATCATTTTTCAAACCCTACGAACCCAAGAACAAGGCTATACAAGATTGATTTGATGTGGTACATACTAAGGAACCCCACTTTCTGATTCTCGGCCGGCCACCGGGACAGCGGCGGAAAGTTCTCCTTATCCATCATACACAATGTGGAACAGCTGTTCTAGCTCATGATCAGCAGCTGCTTTCCGGTGGGTGCTGAGATGGCCCCTAACATTATGAATTCATTGACCATCCTTCTTAGCCCAGGAGTCCGCATCAGAGGAATTCCATAAACTTTTGAGCATGATATGAATGGGTTTGAGTTTTCAGTGGTTTACGAGGCTGCTTCTGCAGGGTTTTGGCTTTTCTCAAAATTTTAGCGAGACCGGGAATCGAACTCACGACCAGCCTAAAATGGAAGGTCTAGATCGGGAACACGCGAAAAAAAAAAGGATTTGTCTCATACTTTTTGGGAACGACTGTAAGAGCTAGGCGCCGTCATTTTAACGCTATTCGGGCCGGCTGCAGGCTTGAAACGCCGCAAGGCTACAAGCAGATAGAAAATTTGGCCAATTTGATACACAGTCGTTCTACATACTCAGGGATCCAATCTCTTCGGGTCTCTCGGGAACATGGATGCCCGGCGAATGTTATTCAACTTCAAGAAAAGCATGAGCACCCGTTCCAAGCCGATCCCCCCTCCACCGTGAGGCGCGCAGCCCATGCGGAAAGCATCAACATAGGGTTTCATCGACTCGGGGTCAACACCTTTAGCGCGCATCTTCTCTGCGAGAAGTGCGGGGTCGTGGATACGCTGCGCCCCGGACAGAATCTCTTCCCCGCGCATGAAGAAATCGTAGGAGTTGGACAACGTCTGGATAGCGTGCAATAAATCATCTAATATGCGAACAAATATGGCACATTGCTTACCGGGTCTTCCGGGTCGGGCATGGTATAGAAGGGACGAAGCTCCATAGGGAACTTGTCGATGATGTAATAATCGGTGTCGTATTTCGCTTTGACAAGGCGACCAAGTCTCTTCTCGTTCTCCGTGCTGGATTTATTCAATTAGAATGTCTTGGGTGGAATACGATGGGCGGTACGTACTTGATGTCATCCAAAGTTTCCCTGGGGACACCATCCTCGACGAGCATGTCGATGGCATTGCGGAACGTCAATTTCAGCGTTCCCTCGGGTCCCTCCCTCCATTTAAACTCGTCGGCGGGGAATTGCTTGCCGATGAGTCCAATTTCATTGTGGTACTTTTCCCTGAGGCCACGGAAAATGCTCAGGAGAAGACCGTCGAGGAGCTCCATAACTTCGTGATAATGCTCCTCGATCGTCATTTCCAGATCGAGTCCCAAGAATTCAGTAAGATGACGATGGGTGTTGGAATCTTCAGCACGAAAGACGGGTCCGATTTCATATACTCGTTCAAAGTCCGCTGCAATGGCCATTTGCTTTGCGAGCTGGGGAGATTGCGCAAGGAAAGCATTCCCTATCCGCAATGTTATGGAGACCGAGAGACCAACACTACCAAGGCCTTACCTTTGAAGTAGCTAACTTTGAACACAGACGCCCCCGACTCCGTCGCAGCACCTTGAAGTTTAGGGCTGTGAATTTCGATAAAACCTTGGCTGCTGAGGAATTGCCGGAATAGATCGCCTATTCCAGACTGCATCTTGAAGACGGCTTGATTTGTCTGTGTCTGCAACGACATCGGCGGATGCAGTGGACGGAAAAGAGGTTGCATACTCGGAGATCGACGACCCGATTATTGAGTCGTGTTTCGAGTAAGACTCGGCTGAATTGTTGGGCTTTCCCGTCAGCATCGGTCACCACTTCGTCGGTGTCAGGACGAGAGGCATCGTCCAACGAGAATGGGAGCCGTCCGTCGATCCCAGAGATTAAATGCACCTGCGATTCAAATTGATGAGCGCATTCATGAGAGAGAAAGTACTCACCTGGGAGACGTGAACCTCGACATCCTGCACACTTGCACTCTTGATTGGCTCGGGGGTCTTTTTGACAAGCCCCTGCACGAGGACAATACTCTCATCGGCCAAGGCGGCAGTCCATTTCACCATTTGTTTAGAAATTGTCTCGGGAGAAACGACGACCAAAGCCTGTACAGAGTCGGCGCGTTGACGGAGATTCAAGAAGACCATCTTGCTGCCCTGCGCTCGTGAGGTTTGAACTCGAGCACGAAACAGAACAGTCTCTCCATCGCGAGCCGAAAGAGAGGAAATCTCGATACGGGGCAGGCGTGGACGTGTCTGCGATTGATGAAGAGGCAGGGGACCATAGAATTCAGTCGCATAATCCTATCGATGAAGGGATAAGGAACGAGACTCAAGACGGATGACGACAGGACAGACAACGTCAGCAGCAGCCCGCTGGGCGGCAAGTTCTTGCTGTTTTGCGGCTTTTTCTGCGACTTGCTTTTCTTTCTCGAGTGCCTTTTGGCGCTTTTTCAATTCACTTTTGGACGGGCCCGCGGGTTCTTCAGCGACGGGGTTCCTGGAAGGCGGTGAGATCTGTGTGGGGTATGGGATATGTGTGCATACTGCGCTTCAGGATCGGCCATGTCGAGGTATGAACCAGAGTCAGATCCAGATCGAGTCAAGCGACAAGAGTGATCTTGAGTCTTGACCAAAACGGGACTTGGCCAGACGGAGCTCGACTTCGGGTAAACGCGGATCGACCCGCCTGGATTAAGCATTCCCTTACAAGGCAAGTCACGTTTCCTGCCGTTCGGCCAAGTGCCGTTTGTTCCGTACCCTAATGGGGACGGTCCTTTTAAGGAAATCCACGGGCAAAAGTGGAAAAGTCTGACTCTCTGCCTCTTCTCCCATTTATGCTCGCCGCCACCTTCACTCGCCGCACCGCTGGCGCTGGTGCTGGTGTCCTCCGAACCCTTTCTACATGGTCTGCTGTCCCGGCCGGTCCTCCCGACCCAATTCTCGGCGTCTCCGAGGCATTCAAGGCCGACAAGGACCCCCGCAAGATCAACCTTGGCGTCGGCGCGTACA